TAATAAATTAGTCTTCGCTATTAAATTGATACTCCGAATGATCTACGTTGTTTAAAAATCTATTATTATTAATTTATCGAAAAGCATTGCACACACGTGATATATTTGGAAGAATCCGGAGTCATGTCCTGGAATAGATTTTTTATTTACAGAATGCATACATCAGTTTGCTATCGATGTACAAATAAACTGAAATGGGATATGCATCTGGAAAAGTAGCAATTGAGATTGCGCCGGGTATCCCATGGGCAGCAGATGTGGCATGGCGCAGTAACGGCCGGTGGTTTCACACCTGCGTAACGCAGGCCGGCCGACAAATGGAAATAAGTAGTTGTTAATGAAAATAGCAGAATTCGACTTTCTGTCTCATGCGTTGTACCCTCTGGGGTATACCCCTTCTTTTCTTCCTTTTTCTCTTTTTTCCCCCTTATTTTTTTTTTTTTTTTTTTTTGGGAGGGTGGGATCGGGTCGCGAGAGAAACGTTTTGGCAATTTAGTTAGATCTGGACTACGCACATAGTTTTGCATCATTATTTAACGTTATACTTATCTGTACTTGACTTGAATCCTGCTCGGGTCAATGATTACCTCGTGATTACCGGATCCGGTAGTTGATGTTTATTCTTCTCATGATGTTGATTTGTTCGGCCTCCTGCCGGCCGAGGTGGCTCCGGTCTTTGACCATATGCTTGGCGATCATTACATCACCGCTTAGCCATCTTTTCGATCTGTTGACTGCATGTCAACTCGAACGAAAAGCATTGCACACACGTGATATATTTGGAAGAATCCGGAGTCAAGTCCCGGAATGGATTTTTTATTTACAGAATGCATACATCAGTTTGCTATCGATGTACAAATAAACTGAAACGGGATATGCACCCGGAAAAGTAGCAATTGAGATTGTGCCGGGTATCCCATGGGCAGCAGATGCGGCATGCCGCAGTAACAGCCGATGGTTTCCCGCCTGTATAACGCAGGACGGCCGACAAATGGAAATAAGCAGTTGTCAATGAAAATGGCAGGATTCGACTATTCCAAAATAAAGAAGAGAAGTGCACGAATTCTGTCATTTTCATTCGGGGCTAATTGCAACTGACCAGTTGATGGCTGCAAAGATGCCATTTATTAATTATAAGATGATGAGCTATGAATGTGTGCTAAGCCTATATATAATATATATGTTTTTTTTTTTTGTTTTTTTTTTCGGATAAACTGCCTTGGTATTATTCTGATGAACGATCTATTCCAAAGATATATAGATGATCAGTCAATCAGAATATGCTTTTGATAAAACAGTGGCTATCGTCGCCGGGTGGGCCCAAATGTATCTGTAGAATGCATCGGATGACCATCTGCCGATCTTCTGAATGAGTGGCAGTTGTACTCCGCGTAAAACCAACTCTGTTGTGCCGCCGCCCTGAAGCTGTGTCCCGCTACGTCCATTTCCAGTAAGAGGAGTTTAATTGTGTTTATAAACCAATGCTTTGTGGCTAGGTTACCATTGGCTTTCACGAATAAAGTGTCCTTCTCTTGCGCGTACGTTGGTTCTGTTCTGCGAATTATGTAGGCTTTTAATGCGCGAATTGAATATAATTCATCGTTAGTCGGATTGATAATTAAGACCGGACGTTCTGTTGTTTTATGGGTCTTTGTTCTGGGTAACTGTATTGTTGCGAAAGTATTACTACCGGCCTTATCAAATCTCACGCTTTGTATCTTCGGTATTTTATGCATTCCTTGCTGACACTGTGGTAGTAACTCTCCTAACCGGGCCAGGCCATAAAATGCTACCAGTGCTATCGACCAAAACAATATACCTTCTGTGTTGCCGAAGTTTAAGCTATTGCGCATTCTTTGTAACTGTGTTCTTGTAATGTGCTCTTTCTGGCGCACCGGGTGAAACATGTGACCGCCTTCTATTGTCTTCAAGAGTTGCTTTACTAAAGGGTCATACCGAACTTCGTTCCATTCGATCTGATTTATGGTATGATAATGCTTAAGGGCGGATAAATAGAATGTTATGGTTTGTGGTGTCACGTTTTTGTGTAAGTAAGCGATAAACTTTATTAAATTTTCTTTTGATATGGGCCATATTGTTCCATTGCTGTTTGTTCATCCTTGTTCTGTTGCCAATCTGTGATACTTTTTTATTATCGCGTCGTATGTTCTATACATTGGAGGGTGTATACCTAAAATTTTTTCCGCCTGCTTATTTAGTGTTGTTGTGGTCGTAGGATATTCGTTTGTTTGTTTCAATGCTGGTTGTTGTTGTCTGCTTCCTCTTTGTTGTGTTATATTATACCGTGGTCCTATTGTAAAAGTGATGGGATGGTGAGTATCAAGTTAGTATAATTGCTTGGGATTACTGGTTGTAAGTAGCGTGTATGGGGGTTCCGTGTCATAAACTCCCTGTGGCCATTGCGTGACAACAAATCTGCTTCCACATTATCTTTCCCACTTATATGCTCTAGTTTGATTGAGAAGTTTCCTCGGACCTGAGCCATATATATATCTGCAATTATGTTGTTTAATAGAGGGTTCTTACAATATCCTGTATAAAACGCTTCCGCATTAGCCAAGTTATCCATCCAAATTATAAAACATTTTTGTATCCATAAAGGTGAAAAAGTTAATATCGCGATGAGGGTTGTTAGAAGCTCGCGTATTTGGATATTGTGTTTGGTGATGTCTATCGCTCTTGACTAGTTAAAAGTGGTGAAATATATGTCGTAAGTAGCCCCGCCGCCCAGGTTAGATGCGTCTGTGAATAAGTTTTGAACCTCAGGCCGCAGCCATGCCCTGTCTTCTAAGAAATACATGCCAGACCATTCTGGCAATATTTTCAACCACCATATAATATTTGCTTTCATTTGACTTGTCATTTTGATATAGTACTTTGGGTTATTAGAACCTTCTAAAGCCTTGATAAAACATTGCACAAAAGGTCTGCCTTGGGGTATGATTTGGCACAGTCACATGAGTGAACCAACTAGCGACTGTAGTTCTTTCTTATAGCACCACTTTCTTTTATTCCATTCTGATAGCATTTGCAGGATCTTCACCTTTTTTAATTCTGGTATTGTTGCTGACAATGCTATCGTATCGATATATATTCCTAAAAACGTAAGTGCTGTTCCTGGGTCTTCCAGTTTCGATTGCTTATACAGAACGTTCATTATCGCTAATATTCAAAGAAATTGGTGTAATTCTTGCTCTGCCAGACCTTGTGAGATAATTAAAAAATCGTCTACATAGTTGGATTATCGATCTGATTCCATGTTGGACAGCGATCCATGCAACAGCATCTGCAAATCGGCAAAAAATGCCACCTGACGCTCTGTTTCCAAATGCTAGAGCTTTGTCGAAGTATATTTATCTATCGCATTGTAAACCTTGGAGGACCTGGTCTACTGGATGTACCGGTAATATGCGATAAGCATCTTGAATGTCCACTTTTGATAGCATGCAACCTCTCCTATACTGCATTATCCATTTTACTGCATGGTTTATATTTTCGTATTTTGTCACGAATTCAATTTTATCTATCCCATCATTTACGCTCGCCCCGAATGGAGAAGATAAATGTGAATTTACTAGGTATGCTTGGGGCATAGTATCTTTTTTCTCAACTAGGCCGCACAGGTTGATTTGAAACATCTTGCATGGTGGCTTTTCTAAAGAAAATGAACCGCACATACGACCAACTGCTATTTCTTTACTTATATAGCTTTTAAAAGCTGTAGGTTCTATCTCGATTGACTTTA